ATCTGAACATTAAAACAGCAGCAATGTTAAAACTAGTAATGAAAGGAATTTGTTGGCTTGTTTAAAGGTACAGAATATTCATTTTAATTCTATTTTTGTTCAAATATTTGTTACCACACAGCATGCTGATTGTTTGTTAATTTATAGTGAGTTCCCAGGTTTAATGAATACAGCGGGGATAAATATTTTTGATTTTTCCATATTTGACCTGTCGAAAAGAACCAGGTGATAGAAGATGGCCAATTTGATCTTTGGCAGACTGATTTTAGCATCTTGAATAGCAAAGTTCAGCCTGTTAGTGATGTCCTCCCCAACAGTCACAGTTACTGATGTGGCCCATGGTTAGTAAAGTTAGGAAGAAAGTAAAGTGTATTTATCATTAACACATTAACACCAATCTCAGCACTTGAGAGAGAGAGCAGCCCTTCAGCGGGGCACTGATACCCAGTCTCTCTTCTTCAGGTGGATAGCACAGTCCTCTTTTGCTGTTCACACCCTTGACCCTCTCCAGAATGGGAGAGATTTTTACAACCTTATTTCCTCTTACAGTGATTGCCCCTTGACTCTTCCACATCCTCAAAAACAGAACTAAAGGCTTCACCACCTGTGGAATTTCCCCCCACTGGGTGTCACCCCCTTTCTCAAAAGTCTCTAAAGTGTTTGAAAGTGTAACTGAGATTGGTTATAGTGCAATCTCATATATTTTTGAGGCAAGGAACAGAAATAAACATTGGTCTTTGTAAATCATCACCCAAGGAACTAAGCAAGGGTTAACTTTAGTGTTATGGCCTGGGTCTAGGGACCCAGGGCTCATGTATTTTAGTGTATATTTATGTTTATATTTTCCGTGTGGTGTTTTGGTTTTCTCTCCTTTTTCTCCATGTTTCTCCGTGTGAGCTTCCAGAGGTTTTGGTTTGCTGAGGAGACTGCAAACCTGGAAGTGTTTCTGCTCTAGAGACAGCCACACCTGCTGCTCGTCGTCCTCTGCCAGCTGCAGCAGATTGCGCTGGTCAAGGGAGCAGTATTTAAGACTGTAGCTGAGCTGATGCCGACGCTGGATCCTTGAGTCAGAACTCGTCAGTACAGCCGTGGACTTGGTATAAACCTTTGAGAAAGTAGAGTCCCTGCTAACCTGAATGTGTTTGTGTTACCAGGAATCTGTAGCTGAGTGTATTTTGGAAGTCACGGTGTAGGAGTTTTTGGAGTCGCCACTTTCACGTTTCACGGACATGTGCACTGTGTGGGATTCAGGGAGAATCGCCACGGGACCACAGTGCTGGGATTTTATATATAGTTGTGTGTTTTCCACCCCGTCAATTGTCCTTCACTAAGAGTCTCGCGTTTGGGCCCTACTTTCACTGCAACTCCATGGTCTGCCATCGCAGCCCGTGACATTTAGTTTGGCTTACCCATGTTTCTTCTTCTTGTGCAGAGGCACTGAAGAAGAATTCTTTGACGTCACAAGTCAACCTGCAAGAAGCAGAGAAGGCTCTGCCCAAGTGGTTCTGGAACTAGAGACAGTGGAGGACTGAGGGCTGCAAAGGTGCAAAATAGACGTACGGCCAGTAAAAAAACCCAAAAGAAAAGGTCTGCTGATTTGAGATAAGGTTTTGAGTTTTCCATCTGGCTTTTTCCCATTTTACTACAGTTCCAAATATGTAAGGAATTTTAATGTAGTCTGACTTTTCCTGTTTTTCAAAAGTTTTTGCAGTTCAGCATACAATTACTTAAAATCACAATTGTTGGACAAAATTAATGTGAAAAACGTTATTTTGTGTACCCTCGTGATTTATATAATGGTTATATTTACAAACTTGTTTCTGTTTGCAGTCAGCTTTAATATTTTTGGTGTCTTTGTGTCAACCTGTATTGGCTGTCTGTTAAATTTATTTTGTGCAGAACCCACTGATAATCCTATTTCCACTTTTTAGCTCATGTTGTCCTCTTGTTGTACCCACTAAGAACTTGATAAACAGGGCCCGGGTGGATTTTTGTGTACTTTGCCTAGTTGGGGCCCATTTAGTTCCCAGATTTTAACACCAATATGGGCATTTAACATGGGGCCATTATGGGCATTATCGACAATCCTATATGGCCCCCATTTTTCAGCCCATTTCCAAACCATGTGGGGCCCACATGTAAAAGCTGGCTGGGTAAATTTCAACAGTTCTGCTAAATTGTAATATTTCTGATAATTTATTATGTTTTTTCTGAGTTATTAAAGTTCACCAACTTTTCTAATATTGACTTCAGCAATACAGCATTTTTGCAGAAAATGCAATTCTTTCTAGTTGTTATGGTAATTCCATAAAGACTGTCCACTATTTAATTCATACACTGCTTGTATACTTCTCATATCAGTCACCTCCAAAAGCTCCCTATATGATCTTGAGCCTTCCTGCGGGACAGTGGGGCTCCCTCAATATTTATACTGGTTTTTGTGACAATAAGAAAAACTCCAGCGTCACATTAACAGGATGCAGGTAAACAGCTGAGAGTTTGAGTCATTTATTTTGGAACAATGACCTCCAGTACAAATGTGTGATCTATGGTAATCAAATAAGCAGAAACACCCAAATCATTCAGAGACGTGGATTACAGGGATTACATTACATGGATTAAACAGCAGAGATGCACAGTGAAGCATTACACAGCAGAGTTTACATTAGACCTGATCCAAGACCATCCCAGTAAAACCAAAACACCCACCAACAGCTGTGAGAGGGTCCTGGATCAGGTTCAGAGTCTAGACAGAGATCATCATCATCATCATCAGTCTGTTGAACACAGGAAGCAGCTGCTTTTACAATATCAGACACAAACAGGACCAGGATCCAGGCTCAATTAGTGGGAACCAGGATACGACCTGAAAGAAGAAGAGACGAGGACACAGTCACCAACACACTCTGAAAACACATCATGGACACTGAATATAAACTGATCAATGGCAATGATTCAGTAAAGTTCCATGTATCAGGGCCTGAACCAGGTCTGAGATTCCTCTAAAAAAACAGTAAAAACTTGGTTTGAAACATGAATTTAATTAAATGTGGTCAAAAAATAAGCAGCACTGGTCTAAACATGTCTGAAAGTGAATGTTAAAACATCAGTATATAAAAAACACTGATGTAAACCAGATCCAAACCAGTTTTAGACTCATGTAATGTGGTTTGAGATTAAGACTGGTCTAAACTGGTTTCAGGTATGAACTGGTCTGTGAGTGGGAGTTCTGACCTCGGGCCTTCCTCTTGTAGTAGATGAATCCAGCCAGAGATAAGATCAGACCCAGGATCAGTCCTGAGGCTCCGATGGCGAGCTTGTTCCTCTCTGACTCAGGCATGGACAGGTCTGAGGACACACAGGTGAGTGTCAGACAGGTAGGTGTGTACAGGTGTGTACAAGTGTGTACAAGTGTGTAGATACAGACAGGTATTTACCCCAGTCAGTGATCAGAGGTTTCTCCAGGCTGGCGTGCTCCACCTTACAGGAGATCTTCTCTCCAGACTTCTTATTAAAAGTCTGTTTCCATGGATAATGATGCTCACCTGGGTGTGTACTCCAGGTGTGAGTGGGTCTGGTAGTATCAGAATCAGAATCAGAAACTTTATTGTCATTGTCATGAGAACAACGAAATTAAGAATGGTCCCCGATCATGGCAGATGGTGATTGTACCAATCACCATCTGCCATCTCCTCAGTGGAAGTGACATCAGAGGTTATTTCCTGTCCATTTCTGAGCCAGCTCACTTTAATCTCACTGGGAAAGAAGTCATTGGCTGTGTCCCAATTCAGGGTCTGCACGCTTGAAGTACGCGCACTACGCGTACTATGTACGGTGCGTACTATAAGTACGAGAAGTGCGGAAGTGAGAGGCTTGTGAAATGGGACGGTCTAGCCTTCGTCACGCTGTTCAGGTTGCCTACCAACCATGATACTAACCGCGAGAAACGTTACATACAGCTTTGTTTGACAGAAATGAAGGAGAAAAAATGTTTTGTAATGACATCACTTTCATTAGTTGAGTATCTGAGGCTGAGATCACAGGACTGTAAAACATGATTGTTGGGCTTCATTTCTGTACTGAACAGTACCAAGATTACGTGAAGTACCCTCAGAAGGCCTGCTAGATGATGTTAATGCAGCATTACAGACGATACCTACAGCCACGATTACCGACACTAACAAGCTGATCTACAATACGGCAGCAGTGATCAGTGAGATGCTTGGCTACAAGTTGAACAGCCACAAGGGGCAGTACCCTCCATGGAGAAGGAGGCTAGAGGACAAGATCAAAGTAGCACGGAGGGAGGTTAGCCAACTAACGGAGTTGCAGAAAGGCAAGGCAAGGCAAGGCAAATTTATTTGTATAGCCAACACGTTCTCACTCCCAACTCGTCAAACGTGTGACGCATGCTCAGGCTCCCTCTGCTTCACTTATGGACGCGCAGGGTACCCCTCTCACGTTGGGAATTGACATGAAGGGTCCTCCGATTGAAGAGATTGCCGCGGAAGTGCCTTTTGTCGGTATATTTAGACATTTTCCAAATCACATTGTAACGACCTATACTGAACACAATAAATTATATAATGCAGGCAACTATCTGAGAGAAAATTACTGCAGATAAAACTAGTTACAGGCTGTTATTTGTGTATCGGTTCTTGCATTGACGGAGTGAGCGATGTATGCTGGGTAATGGCACAGCTAGCGATTGGGTGAATTTATTGCACCGGTTTTATAAACTGTTCTACAATCCTTTTCATATTTGGAAATCTGTCGATCATTCTGCTACAGCTGTAAGATATCTTCTCCAACTCCTCTGAATACATGGAGTCATTTTACCGTCTGCTTTGGCTAATCACGCTCTTACGTATTAAATTAAATTAAATGCCTAATAAAAAAGCTGTTTGTTTTTTTTAGGCAAAAACATTTTCGGTGCTGTTAAGGAATTCACAGCGACTCAGTTGTTTATTTTTGAGAAAGTTTATTTTTTTATCATATTAGATGAGCGGCAGTGACGTCAACGTACTCGATCGTACCACAGGTAAGTGCGAATCTGAATCTGTAGATTTTTTAAAATTATTTTTCTTATTTAAAACCAAAAAGAAAAACCCGAAACAGTGAGCTCACAAAGCTGCTTTTAGCAGTTCCATGGGTTAAGATTAGCAATTTCGTGGAACAGTGAATGACTTAACATTTAATAGCATATATGTTACCACACCACATGTGCTGTAAGCTAGCTAAATTCATTTCTGTTAGCCAATCAAGTTAAGCTTATCATATATCATCATCCAGGGTACAGTGATAGAGAAGTGTGTGCTGACGTTTGCTGTTGTTGCCACTTTGTAAAGTTTGAGGGTTCTAATAAGGGTCAGTGTTGCCAGATTGGGGTTGATGCTCAAATTCAAGATAGACGTTATCTATCAATCTAGCTCTCTCTTTATGGCTCTCTCTCTCATTCTGGCTCTCTCTCTCGCTCTCGCTCTCTCTCTCTATTTTAAACTTAATAACAGCATTACATAATCATTAAATAGCAGACCGATCATCTATGCTGCAAATGAAATACAAATGGACACTAAACAGGGTTTATCTAATTCGTTACAATAGGGTTTAATGTATATATTTATTTATAAGGTGCTTCTGAATTCTGAATACTTTTTTTTTTCTAAACAGGTTCTTCATCAATCAGCCTATTATTGATTGATTCCTTCCTACATCTGCTTTTTGAAAAACTCCTAAAGGCACTTTTAAGAGCCACGTCAGTCTGTTTGTATCTGTTCTTACTGCTGTCCTTATTGGTCTGTCTCTCTGTTTCTGCCTCGCTCTGTTGGTCTCTGTCTTGTTTGATTATTCTGTTTGTGTGTGTGTGCGTGCGTGCGTGCGTGTGTGCGTGTGTGCGTGTTTGTTTGTTTGTTTGTTTGTTTGTTTGTTTGTTTGTTTGTTTGTTGTTTGTTTGTTTGTTTGTTTGTTTGTTTGTTTGTTCGTTCTTCTTTCTGCCATGAGTGACTCCGAAATTCAAGATCCTTTAAGGATCCTAGATAATCTGACTGATCAGCAGGAACAAATTGATGAGCTCCAACACCTCGATGACATGCTTGGTGAGCTGAAGCAAGAGGTAGCTCCTGTACCTGTGAAGCCACCTGAACTAACAGTAAAATGGAAAAAAAGAGACAAAGATGGAAACCAACTCTATGCGAGGCCAAGATCAATCTGGAGTCAATTACATAAGGGTCAGTACTCTTTCATACAAGATAATTTGAAGATATAGATTGTATGGACACAAAACCATAAATTTAACGTATTAATTAATTTAAATATTTGTAAAGACAAACAGGAAAGTAATTTGTTTGTTTTGACACAAAAGGACATTAAATAAACCACAGAATTATCTCTTAAAACTGAATGATCCCCCCCCTAGCAAGTATGGCATTCATTACCTTATGTTAGTCCAGTAACAAAATGTGGCTGACAGTTACCTCCTCACAAGGATTTTGGTAAAAGATATTGGTACTTGGCAGCACAGTGGCACATCAAAAAATGTCCTGATTTCAATTCCACTATCAGACCAGGGTCTTTGCGTGTAGAGTTTGCATGTTCTTCCCTTGTTTCTCTGCTCGCAGGTTACCTGGTTTACTCCCACAGTCCTGAGATGTGGAGTTTGGCTAATTGGTGATTCTAAATTGTTTCTGTGTTATAAATGTGGATTTGATTTGTGTTTTTGATATACTGTTGATGTTTTATACAGCTGCCCACAGTCAGAAGACCAATTCTACCACTAATAACAGTCACTGTGAGGTGGCATTTGCCCCAGAGACTGTTGGTATGTACTCCACTGTGTCTTCACTAGATCAAAGCAGTATGTTCATTTGTTTGCAGCAATTGCTAGCATATTTATAGCCATCAAGCTTTACTCTCATAGCTACTCTGTCCATTACACTTTTATAATTTAATCAATTTTAATAGAAAATGTATTTGTTTTTTTTAACAGAGCGCTTTCTACAAGAACTCCAGAGCTCACTGAATGATTCTTCAGACGATCACCATGAAGCACCACCACCAAAAGCTCCTCTTTTGGCTTCCTTGAACTGGAGCACAAGAAAAACTCTTTTTTCAGAGAGTTGGAGGGCCAAAAGACCCCATCTGGTGAATACCATGGCAGCTCAAGAAAGTGTGTCGGAACATATATGCCAACAATGTGGGAGCAATCCAGCTGTGCTTCGTTGTCGTGACTGTCTACCACGCCCCCTTTTTTGTGATAAATGTGATGTCATCATGCACACCAGATATGTCCTTCACAATAGATGTGCCATGACTGCCGGATTCTTCCAGCCATTGCCTCCAACAACTTACATTGTAAATAAGACCCTTTGCCATGATGGTAAGTTCTGTGACTAAACTTATTATGTTTACTGTTTATACATTTCCCTTACGCTCTCTCTCTCTATCTCATTTTTTAAAAAAGTTGATGCTTCCTCAGCTCTCAACTACACTGTTAGCTTTGAGCTGTTAAGTTGTTTTTTTTATTGTTTCAAGTAAGGCTCAGTTGGTCCTACCACATCTTAGTCACATTTCAACGTTTTACTTCATAGTTAATAAACTTATTTAAATCATATGTTACGCATACATGTTGACTTCTTTAGCACGACTTGTACCTGTGGAGAGCCCAGTCACAATCTGCGGCTGTCCACCAGAGTGTTTGAGGGTCAGACCAGGAAAGGTTGTTGCTGTGGTCACAATGAATGGTAAGAAGAACTTCATTTTGTCCTGACTGACAACCATCTGTAAACAATTCACCTAAAACTAAACCCTCACAAGCATTGTTGCAGTATAGTCTGAGACAAAAAGAAGACCTAACACAAAGATAATAAACTTTTACTCTGGAGTCATGAGTTTTTCACTTTTCTAGGACGTTACAATCTCAGCATGCCAGAGCTGAGGTGTGAGACATGTGAAGCTTCTTGGACTGCTGGAGTAGATGACCTAAATCTAAGTGATTACTGGCCCTCTACCCTTCACTTTTCTACTTTGTACGCAACAGATGCCTTCTTCACATTTGAAGAAATGAAGATGGCATCACCCGGACTCTCCTGCAAAGCATTTTTAAAAATGCTTAATCAACGAACTCTCCACTTTGGCCGTGTGAGCATTTTAGTTTATGCATCCTTTACAGTATGGTTCTTCTGTGTTATTCAGGATTTAAAAGTCACTTGTAGCATAGTTGTTTTCTGTTTATGTCTTTCATTTTAAACCAGAGGGGAAAGATCTCTGCAAATGGCTTTCAGAAAAGTTTCTTTGAGTGGGAAGCCGTGAGATATGAATTAGACAAGATTTTAAAGGAGGATCCCTTCACATGTCATGCATGTGCCCCAGACATGCTTGCAATTTCAGTGGATGGAAACCGCAAGCATTACCGTTTCAAGAATGCAGCCAGGTACAGCAAAATATGTGTAATACCAACGTTTGTTTCAGACAATGTGACTATAAGGTGCACCAATTAACTTTGGACTTACTTTGTCATACCATAAAGTATACTGTATTGCTATTTTGTTCAGATCTGAGGAACTGGGCATCTTTGAAGACGCCTTCATAGCAAAGGATGAAGATGTGGGAAGATTTGTGGACTACATACACAGCACATCCAGACATGTAAGATTGAACGCTCTAATTACATAGACATAATTATGTTAACCTTTAACACTCTGTTGAAGAGATTGTGAAAAGACATTGTCACCAGCTATTTAATGCATTTTAGGTCTCCGGACGAGGTGTTTGTGGAGGGGAGTGGTCAGCAGCCAGAGAGACCTCCCAAAGATCCAGCAGCAAGGTGGATGAGGAGGGACTGGAGCTTGCAGTGTGTAGGCATGGAGTGCTGCTCCGTGCTCTAAATATGTACAGGGGTGAAATTTTTGCTTATCCCTTGTACCTGCAACAAAAGCTGGCCAATAGACATATCACTTTTTTTTGTATGGATGTTACCTGCAAGTATTGGCCATATCTTGAAAGAGTAACAAAAAGCTGTCCAGAGCTCCAGCAACTTCTTAGCATGAAGCCATTTCTTTCAGTCTTCCATGCTAAAGCCCACGATTTCAAATGTGAGGTATGAAATTCTGACTTTAATGACTTTATCTGAACAATTGCACATCAACATTTTGTGTAATTTGTATTTTATCTGTGTGTGTGTGTATGTGCATCTGTGTGTGTGTGTGTGTGTGTTTTTTCCAGGTGAAATGGAGTGGAGCATATCAAGATGGGGCTGGTTTGACTCTAGGGGAGGAGGTAGAGCAATGTAATGCCTTTTTGTCAAGGATTGCAGTTACCACAAAACATATGTCCAAAGCAGGTGAGAAGGCAAATCCTGCACTAGTTAGATTTTAAGTGTGTAATTATGATGAAAGTGGTAACACTACGTTTTCTGTGTTTGCAGGACGGAGTGACATGCTAACTCTTATGGCCATGCGCTGGAATCAACAAAAGCTAGACCAGTTGGCCACCTCTCTGACCCATCGATATCAGAAGGTAATGATATTGTTACTTTATTTTTAGATGATTACTCCTCTGTGTTCTTATTATTTGGAGTAAACATGTGTTTAGTGTTTTTTGTTTGTTTGTTTGTTTGTTTTTTAATCTCAAATTGACAATGTAGGCCACAAAAGCTCTTCTAACCCAGCTTCAGAACCTGGAGTCCTTAAAAGTCCAATTAGCAGTGACTGACAGTCAACTGGATGAATGGGTCAGTGATGTAAAGGATTGGGCAGAAGGTGAGCAAAAACTGATTCAAAAATGTGATGCAATTGTACAATGACTTTATGTAAGTGTAGCTGTGTTATTTCTTCTAAGCAGCAACAACAAGCACAAGTGATATTGATCCCTTGGTGAGCAGAATCGAAGTGCTCGTAGCAAGCATAAAGAGACGATCCCAGCGTCTGTACAAAGACACCGATGGAAATAAAGCCCGTGCCAAGATTCGTCGCAAGATCAGAGAAGAGAAAGGAATCTTGACTTCTGCTGTGGAAAAATACAACAGAATGTTTCCAGACAAAGAAACTCTGTGCATGGAAGAAATTCTGTCTGGTGACACAAGCTGGCCGTGGCAGCGGGCACACGGCGGTAGTTGTACATATATGTTGTCTACTTTCAGCATATCTGACATATAATGAAACCCTAAGCTTCAGGTGTTGACCTAAAATCATTTATGACTTCAGACATTCTTTGTGAATTGATTCATAACTTTGTTATAAATGCATTTCAGACTCTGTCAGCCTTACAACAAAGAGAAGGGCATTCGATATCATCATGGCAATAAGAAGACTTGAGGAGGAAAAGAAGATTCTTGTTACAGAGATGGACCATCACTGGAAATCTCTTTCGAAATATGATGATATCCTGAAAGAGCTGTCCGGCCTGTTTTCCAGTGAGATATTTAAAAGTATGTATTTAAGTAATGCATACAAAACACTGACTGTTTCTTAAGGCATTAAAGCAGACTAAATTACATGTTCTATTTTTAAGGTTCGCATTGTGGCCTAAGTGAGGAGGGTTTGAGAGGTCTACAGAGCATCATCCTCAGAAAACGACAGAATGTGAAACAAAACAAGCTGCACGCAAGACAGTGTTACATGCAAGTTTTGTCAGGAGCAAAGAACATTAACCTTGATCATACTTCCGACGATGACTTTTACAGTGACTCTGAATTTTCTAATTAAAGCCGGTAATAAATATCTGTAATATATCAGTTTGTCCTCAAAGTTATATCAACTTCCTACCTTGCAGGTTTAATGCTGGGGGCCCCAATTTTTTCAAGTTGGCCATAGACCAGTCATTGACAGTGCATTCCCAAGACTTCATCACATCAATGCATATAGTTTTTTACAAAGACAGCTGGCACATTTTTATTTAATGTCATTCGTAGAGCTAAAAACAACCCTGTTACACTGTTTTTAAACATGCATTTTGGTAATACATAATAGTACACTGTTATGTATCAGAGGGAGATTTTGTACTTTTTACATTTTTGTCATGTTAAGTTACTGTAATATATTTTTGGCTCACAGAATTTACAAGACATATTGAAATGTGATTGATAGAACTTAGTAAGCAAATTTCAAGTATGCTTGTCACAGGTGAGAGTTTTCATTCTTGAGTATTTTGATGTACATGTTAAGTATATTTTCATGGTATGTATCATTCGTATCAACAGTATCAATAATGTTTGAGTGCATTACTAGTACTTGTGCTTATTTTTAAAATAATCATACTACAGTACAGTAGGCAGTTCAGCTGATTCTGTCACAACAACCCTGATCCACAAATTAACTTTTGGATATAAAACTTTTTTTGTTTAGTTCCAGTTGTACAGCGATGTGCTCAACCATATATTTTTTTAAATTTAGAGTATTAATTGATCCAGTGGTTACTAAGCCTACAGTGTGTTACGGTGGACCAACATCATTGTCATTTTACCCCCACCAAATTTCATTAAATTGTCTGTATCACTGTAGTTTATTTGTTTTTATATTACCAATGACCACAATCAAATAAAGTTGAAAAATAACTGTCAGTTTGATGTTTTCATGCAGTTTCAATGGATCATTTTGTCACCATAGTTAAAATTTAGCGACATTTATATTTCCATGACAAAGACATAAAACACATTTCTGTTTAATATAGTTATGACTGTAGACTTGATATGTAAAAACTGAAAATGACTGCCAATCATGTAAGTAATTTGTGAAAAAGAACGTAGAAATCTATTTTACAAACAAAAACAATTTCTTATTATACAACCCTTTCAATACTATAGCCCACACCAGATCAAATTTAGGTATTTGTGACACATACAGCACATAAATTTATTCCACAAAAGGAATAGATGGATGGCCACTATGGAGAAAGGCAGTCCTGAAACTTCATCAGGAGGACAAATCGTTGTGTGCATCAACTTCACAGTGTCTTTTGGTCTTTTATCAAAAGATATTTGCCATTTTTTAGTTTCTTTTAAAGTTCTTGGTTAGGTTTAGGGATTAAAGACCAAATCCAGATTATAATATAAAAATATTGTGACACATCATCAGTAGTGGGCCTTGGATTCATTGGGTGTTTTGGCCCTTACCAGTAGACACCCTCATAAATGGAGGCCCTGCCAGGGTTGATCAGGCCCCGGGGTGTGTCACTGGTTGATGTGAAATTGCTATTTCTCTTCTACTTTTTCCTATTTAGTTTTCTACAATTTATTTTCTTCTATCACTTCACCGCAAAACGATAAGTACTATTTAGGTCTTTAGTGCTTAAAGAGCCTCACTTCTTAAAGAGATAGAAAAGGTGAAAGAGAAAAGAGATAACATAGGAGAGAGGAGAGCCGGAACTGGGGCATGTGATCTGGCATCCCATACCTCCGCGCCCAGATCGGGCTGTACCATCTACATCTCCACTGCCTCCAACAAACAGGAAAAAGAGCTGAGGGTAGAAGCAAAACGTTTTTTCATTCCTGCCTTATGTTTCACTACCATGAGGTTAACTGCACAGCCCCAGGAGCCCTGAAACAGCTGTATCAGTCAACAAGGCTTCAGGTCTATCACAGTACAAATTATAGTGTTAGGTTTTCTACCCTTTTGATGCCCCCTGCTTAGGTAGCTCCACCACAGTTTGATCAATTCTGGGCATGTGTGTTGCGGATAGCTGACTGCCCAAGTGATCTCAGCCCTCTTTAACCACAGCCAGTAATTGGCCCACTCAGCAGTGTTAGCTAATTTTCTTATAACCTGCAGCAGCACCTGTCCTCTGGCTCCAATCTCTTTAAGCAGTTTTGCTATTGTACTGGCCCCTAACCCTAAATAGTAGTTCAGGTCGTATCTCTCAACAGAAACAGCTTAATTCTCTTTCTCCTATGACGGCCAATATTTGTTAGTAATCTTCTAAAGCCAAAAATGACATAGTCCCAATATACAGGGTTAAGTGCTGTTAGAGCTCAGAGGGTTGACTTAACCCTCTAATAATCAATGTAGTTAAAATACTCAAAAGAATGTTGTCAGTGGTAATGGGACAAAGCCACATTCAATGTTGATTTTAATTTGAAAATATGTGTACATAATCTAACATGCCTATTATTTGTGGGGACATCACACATCACACAAAAAAAAATTTGCATAGAGAATGAAGTTATATAACAGTGTAGGTGGATCAAGGCCAAGTCAATGTTGAGCATCTAAGAAAATTATGAAAGTTGATACTACTAGTAATGGAAACTTTCAGTCTCAACATAAAACAGTACTACAAGTTCTCACATCTCAATAGACCTTTGATTTTTTATTTTACTTTTCATTGACAGTACTCAGTACAATTTCACCAGCCTTCATACTCAAACTAAACAGAACACCTGTTTACAATAACAACTTCATATGAGAAACAAAGGGAAACAGACTGATGGGTTTTATGGATTGAGTTGCTAGCTGCGGGTCATATTCACCGTACTAATTATAATAGCCTACACTCACTTTTTAAAGAATGTAGCAAATATAAATGCTGTACAAAAACATTCAAGTTAAGAACACAGAACTACTATTGTAGTTAACAACATAAGATAAAGTCTTTTTTTACGTAACACAATGCATTTTAACAAGTATAAATATTTGTCTATCGTTTCTAAACAATCAAACTGCTGAAAATGAACATATCCAGTCTGTGAACAGAGAAGATCAAAGTGACATCTGGATGTATGGACCTTTGGTTCCACATATTTCTGAAAGTGTTCCTTGTAGACAGTACACAACTTCAGTTTTCAGACATTATATCTTACTTGTTTGTAACATGGAAAAACAAACATCACAACATCATAAAAAGACTTCCTCAGTGGCTGACGGAGGTGGCACATTTGGCATGGCAAAGTGGTGTTTCCCACTGGAAAATATAATAATTATTGAAAGAAACAACACCAAAAACATTAATATCATGTTGGGGATTACTTCGTGCTTTTTATGTTTAACACCAGAGGTGGAACATGATAAAGACATTTCTGCAAGTACTGTACTAAAATGCAAATTGTCATTTTTATGGATATTTTCAACTTCTGCTACACTATTTGTAATTTAGATGGCTTACAAACAAAACACTAGTGTACAGTTACACTCGACACATATGAAAGACTTAGTTATTGTTTTTCAGTTGAACATTTCATAATATCCTTTCTGTGAAGTGAAAATAAAAATTGTTCAAATGTGATAATTAGTTTCTTTTGGATTATTCTAAAGGCTGTTGTTTACTCTTTAATTTGTAGAGATTCATTGCTGTCACACAATTGTAATGCTAGAAATACAGTATGCAAAACAACTGAAAGCTTTCACAGTGTGATATAAGTACTTCTTTGGAAAGTTCAGAATCTGAATACTCCCTCCACTGCTTAGGCGATTTATCCTTTGGCACACATAAATCTGTGTAAGACATGGACAAATTCTCTCCACTTTGTCAGTGTCCTGATAGCATTTATATATTTCTTACAATTAATGTGAGTGCTCTTATGGCCCCAGCACAGTCCAGCTGGAATAATTCCCAGTAGTTTTGCATCTAAGTGTGACACTACTTGTGTTTTCTGAACATTTTCAAATATATTTCTTATTAAATTTGTTATTTTATGATTTGACAAAGATGGCAAAAAACTTTGCAATAATCCTTAATTGATTAAATAATCGAGATAGGATATGAAAAAAAGCGAGAAGTAAGACGTGACAAAACACCTGGTTTTCCATTTTCATTTCTGTTCCAAAAAGGTAATAGATGGAAACAGAACATTCTCAGAGAATGAAATATCAAGAGCTTCTTACCAAACAGAGCAAGGCAACCAACGCACTTTTACTTCTGTGTTCCCCTAGACAGAAGGAATCAGAGAGGCAATCGTTAAATAACATGGTTAATGGATAGGTGTCTTCATAAAGCTTGTGTGTAATCCAGTGTGCACACCTGAGACATACACAGACCCATGTAAACACACTTTGATAGATGTGTAGGTATGTGTATGTAAAGGCATTTCCGTTTATAAAAAAAATAATAATAGGATTTTGAAAAGCATGTATCCAATTGTGGCATTTACAAAAAATTATTTTGATCACAGGTTTAGTTAACTGCGTCTATCTGTTTTTTACTCTGGCTATGTTCTTTTCTTCGGAAAGTTTGACGTACTTGTAACATCATACACTGACATAATCAATATCATCCCATTATGAATTGTTTGAATTGTGTCCATTTAAACACTTCAAACTACACATGATTATCTACTATTTACAGTGAGACAGGGCTGGTAAGCATCTATCAGGATCTATAAATT